AGGCAGTAAATTCGTGTTTTGAGAGTAAACAAATTAATCATTTCTCCCGGGCCGAAATGTTCAGCTGTTTGTTCGCGTCTGTCTACCCAACAGAATATTATATTATACTGCGATGTGCTGTGCTGCAGATAGCCAACATTTTAGGATCAAAGCACAAGAAAAATGGATTACAAACATGCCTTCGCTCTCTTCCATCAATCATCGTTTGATATGACATACTTGTGGTAGGTATATGGGTATTGTACACAGCCCAACTAAGGTAGGTCTGAGGGAGTGCTGGTTAAACCTCTGTACTATAGGAGCTGCAAGGTTACGTAAAGGAGGAAGATTCGGAATTTATAACTAAAATCATCATCCAATAAGGAAAGTTGTATCTCGCTCACGATACTTATTCAGTCATTCACATCAGTTTATAGAAACTTGTATGTCCAGAACGAATCATCGATTGTTATCAATCCTCATTTACGCCATCATCCATCATTCCAGCAGTCATCGTTTCCTCGACAGAAGATAGCAAACCAACAACCAGAAGCACTTTTGGCCTTTTGATAGAAATTGTAATCTAATTACAGCTGATGACGGCGATGATAACGAATTCTCCAGAGACGGCGATTAAGGTTTGTCTCGGAGCGCATGTTTCTTTTGGTAGCGCTATAACATACCCTTGGCTGTGCTACCTTTTTTGTGCTGTCCAACAGTGCTCACCACCATCACTATCCACAATTCCGAGGCAAGCTGACAGGGCAGCAGCCCAAGGTGCGAATGAAAAATGAATGGTGGAAAGAAAAATGTTATTTTCTTTCATGGCAGAGCGTGAACTCATTAATCATTTCTTTTTTTGAGTGTCATTTTCAGACATTCTCGTATCCAAAAGTGAGTGTTGAATCAACAAAAGTTTGTAAGTTGAGCCCCGTGGTGGGTATCTAATAGGATGATATCTGTTTTTCTTTCTTGTGCTTCATTCTTCATTCGGCGAGCACTCCACAAACTCATCAATCCTCACTTAACCTGAAAGCGGAGCTTTGATCAACTACTGAATAGGAACGTGAAAGGGGAGAAAGAGCGCAAGTCACGGCCTTCAAGGCTTCTATTTTTCGGCGTCAGTTCGTATTACGGAAGCCTAAACCAAAAACTTTTGAGCATCACTTTTGACGTAAAACTACTTCTTTTCTAGATTCAAAAATTGCTGCTTAACACTTTCACCCTCTCATCTATCTCGTGAAGGACTTTTTTTTTATCTTTTGTTAAGTTGTCTCGCACACTCAACCGACAGCAAAAGCAACAGCAGTTAAACCAGTCATCTCTCAGCTATAGCCTGTAGTGTCAAACAGTAGTGCGTTCAAGTCCGCTGTCAATCAGTTAAAGTGATGATTGGCGCGCCGGTCGCTGTTTATGGCGCGTAATTGTCTTCACTAAGGCCACCAACACTTGACACTCTTTCGATGTCATGATCTATGGGGCTTGTGCTTTTTGTCTGTTTAGCAGCGACATTATTGAACCTGTGAATAGTTGCGGGCAAAACTATTTCAAGTCATAACAAATTTATGCGAAATGAAGTAAGGTTACGCTTTTTCCATCAATAACATGATCAAACAAAACTTTTCATTAGCTAGCTTAACGTAAACATTCTTTCATCTGAAAACAATAGCTTCTTCCACCTTAATGTTCAACTGCCACACAGATATTTTTAAAGTTGTTTTCAAACTCCATCCAACATAGAGTATCTTATACTCTTCAAGCGAAAATACCACCTGCAACTGTTTACCCACATTGTTTACACAAAGCCAAAAGCTTTTGTGGAATGAGTGGCCATAGAGTAATTCAACACTCTTCGTACACTTTGCGTAAATCCACGGCCACCAACAGGAGTAGATGAGTGTCTAGTTCACACTTTAGTAGTAAAATCTTAATTTGCATAAACCAATACCTTGGGGATACTTTTATCCATATATCAACTCTTCGGTTACAGTTGAGCAACTCAATGTACCTCCTGTTAGGAGCACTTCTTACTCAATTTGGAAGCGGAAACCTATTGAACCATATTTGTTTCAAATATAGGAGTGCTTCGCAAGCAATGGAGACCGTTTGGCTACTGGACACTTAACAAATTCAATGGGTTATTCGTTTCAAAAGTCTCATCTAAAATGTGCCCTTGTTTCACAGCATAATGCTCTCAAACAAAGGTTACAAAATACGTTCTGCAGGTTGCATCACCTAAGTACCCCGCTAGTTACCCTTTTTGCAATATAAGAGTGACATACGGCTTAGGTAAATTAGCGTTACTTGGTTATATGTTGACGATAAATGAAAAAAAAAATCTTACTGTACGCGATCTGTTGCTCGTAAATATCGCCCTCCATAGCGCCTAAAAAGTGAGTTCACCAAAAAATTGCTCGTTTCCATATTTTTATTAGCAAATGGAGTGAATAAAGACTGGAAGGTGCAAAAATTGGTCGACAAAAAATCGTTTCTTTCAGTCAAAATTCATATCACAAAAATCTTCTTATTTTTCTTTTGGTAGTTCAATTCATATATTTAAAGGAAAAAAATGTTCGTTTATTCTTTTGGTTTGCCAAATCCAACTGCCGTGCCTTCCGTTTAGGGTGATTCCTTGTAGCGTCCTTTTTCGTGTTATACTTCGCAATTTCACATGTAATAATAATACTACTTGTTGTTTGCTGTGGAGAAGCAAGCAATGTCTGAAATTTGCAGCTTTCTAAATCTCGTAGATCTTGAGCTGTGTGCTCTTGAAATTGCGAGGTGTGATGGAAAAATAGACTCCACAAGGAAACACCTTAACCCCTTCCATTAAATTTTGCACAGTGGTATCATGGATCTTATTCGCCGCCGAATTCTAGTTAGATTTAAACTGCTGCTCGTTTTCCATGGATTTATTAGTTTTTTGAGATTCCGTTTGACCAAGGCCCAATACCGTTGGTTAAGGCGGAGTACTGGGCTGTTGGGAGGGTTGGATTACGATTGCCACCGCTTCCAGGCTTCCTGGCGGTCGACAAACGCTCCCGGAACACTTTTAAAACGTTAGTCACGGTCGATTTAGCAACATCCAGCAATTTTGCCAACTTGGCGTGTGAGAACGTCGGATTCTCTTGCTGCGCGAGGAAAATTTTAACATGCTGCTTCTCTTGCTTGGACGCATTTTGAAAACTGGAGAGCAAACGATGAAAACTCATCATAGCAACTATTGCATATACACTCAACTTCCAAATGCAGCATTTCAGGTTTTTTTAATGCATTTTTAACAGAAATACACCAATTTGAAGTTGGCCAATTTTTGTGCGTTACAGACTTTAGTTAAGTTAAGTTAAGTTAAGTTTTCTTTATTAAGGAGGCTTTCAGTCTGTGCTGGTTTGCCTCCAGCTGAGGTGAATAGTCTCTACAGAACTGAGATTATCCGTAAACATGAAGTAGTGATTACCGACTGTAAACAAAACTTACCGTTCTCTAAAACCGATAGATTCGTAGCTCAATTAGAAGATCTTGCGAATGAGCAAGTTTAAGCTTCGGTTGTGCTGGGCTATGCTTCTTAGAAAAAACGACCAACTCAGTTTTCTCCGTCGAGAATTCGATACCTAGATGAAAAGCCCAAGTGCGTTCTCGTTCAAGAGCCGTGTATTCTTCGAAATGCTCATCTCATTTATTTATTTATTTATATGACTGAACATCAACAGGCGTTATTTGCCCCAATGATGTAACTTAAACTAAACAGGAAAAGTACTAAAACAAAACATCAATAAGTACATAGATAGTCATCTCGTAAAAAAAAGGAACATTACTAAACAAACTAAACTGATCTAGAAAAAAAACGAACTAAACCTCCGGCGAAGCAGCTGGCGAGTCAGGTCAAAATCAAACAGTGCGGAGACCCTATTGAAGAGTCTCTGTAAACCACCGATTGCACCGAACATGCTATAATTAGTTCGCTGTATGGGCAGGCACAGCATTGAATTATTCCGTAGGGCTCGGGGTTGAACATTGATGTCAATTTGCTCAAGGAGGACAGGGCAATCGGTGCGTCCTTGCAAAATATCCGCAATTAGCAATGCCCTTGCTGTATCTCTTCGGACCGACAGGCGCTCCAGATGGATCAGTTGCAGACGACTTCGGTAGCTAGGCAATCGGAAGGGATCCGTCCACGGCAGTTTACGTAGCGCATATCACAAGAACCGTCGCCGTTTTTGTAGTGAGGAGTCCGGACAACTGAGCAGTATTCTAATATGGAGTGAGACAAGGAGCAGTACAACGATCTAAGGCAGTAGATATCCGTGAATTCTTTGACAATCCTGAAGATAAACCCTAAAATTCTCGAAGCTTCGACGACGGCGTGCGAGATGTGCTGCTTGAAAGAGAGTTTTGTATCCAGAATCACGCCTAGGTCCTTAATTTGGCTGACGCGCTCAATTTTAGTGCCTTACAAAACATGCTTGAACATAATAGTCTCTTTCTTGCGCGAAAAAGAGATAACCGAGCATTTGGACGGGTTAACCTCCATACGATTCAGAATACACCAATCAGCAAAAGCATTCAGCTGACGTTGAAGAAAGCAACAGTCTTCAATTGAGTGAATTCGGAGGTAGAGTTTAAGGACATCTGTGTAAGATAATCGTGGTCCCTTAATTACCAGATTCACGTCGTTGAAATAAATCAGGAAAATCAGCGGTCCCAGGTGATTACCCTGGGTTATGCCGGATGTGGCAGCGAACGTACGGGACTGGTGATCACCAATGACAAGAGTAAGATAGCGATCGGTGAGGTACGACTGAAACCATTGCAAAAGGCAGCTGTGGATACCAAGCCTGTCCAGTTTAGCAATTGATATGCGGTGATTCAATTTATCGAAGGCAGCAGATAAGTCAGTATAAATGACATCCGTCTGAGCACGATCCGACATACTGTTAGAGATGTAGGAAGTAAGGCACAGCAAGTTAGTGGCAGTGGAGCGACCAGCCATGAAACCATGCTGGTCGATACTAATATACGGCTTAAATACAGTGATCAAGGAACGGTTCCATAACAACGAGTTCGAACAATTTAGCAACAGCGCTAAGCGAAGCAATGCCACGGTAGTTGCCAACATCCTGTTTGTTGCCTTTTTCATGTACAGGAAACATGTGCGCTAGCTTCCAACAGGATGGAAAAACACCGACGTCCACAGACCGTTGAAAAACGTGCAGCAGTGGAGACAACAAACTGTCCAAGTGCGTTTTGAGGAACGCCAATGGAATTCCGTCAGGACCCGGATTGTACGACGACTTGAGTCTCGAGGAAGCCCTGAAAAACATCTCGGGATTGATGTCACTTCTGCACATGGTTTGGCCAGAGTGTGGTACGTAACTGGCAGCCAGTCGGGCATGGTCGTCACTCAGTCTCTCGTCCGTGAAGATACTAGCAAATTTTTCAGAGAACACCTGACAGATATCTTGCGTAGATGAGGACACGTTGCCATTATGTGTCATAGACGACGGCAGGCCAGCTTCATGACGTTGTTCGTTGACAAACTTCCAAAACTGCTTTTTTAATTTGCACATACATTGTCACTTTAATTCGACTGTTCTCAATTGCTTTAATAAAATGCTTTATTAGACGTCTTATAAATGTTTTCTAGCTCCATTATTAGATTTCATTGCATTGCTTTACAATATTGCTGTATACAGTGAATACAGTCAGCAATATAGCTCTTATACCACTATGCGTTCATGTTTCAATTGAATGCTTTGTAAATGCTTTATAAACGACATATTAGATTCATTATTCCACAACACAAACAATCCAGAGTCACAAATAAGCATATAGATTGAATAAATGCTTTATAACAGTTTACCATGCTGAATAAAACGGGTTGTCAAATTATGTGCTCACAAAACCTCATTGAGATCGATGATGCACCTTTATTCCGCTGATTGCTCTGATTTGATTAATATACTTATTAAAATCTATACAAATGATGACTGTCTTCCTGATTCAACACCAGAAGTTTGATCTAATAACATACTGAATAAGTGTAATTTGCACATACAGTGACGCTTTAATTCGATTGTTTTAAATTGATTTAATAACATGCTTTATTATACGTCTAATAATTGTTTTCTAGCTCCATTATTAGATTCCATTGCATTGCTTAACAATATTGCTGAATGAAGGTGAATACAGTCAGCAGAATAGCTCTTATACCACTATGCGTCCATGTTTTAATTTCATGTTTTGTAAATGCTTCACAAACGGCGTATTCATTCATTATTCCACAACACTGCTTCAGGCTAACAACAAAACGAAATTGGTAGCATAGTGGTTACCGTTTCCGCTTTCCAAGTAGAAGATCGCGAGTTCAATCCCAGCCTCAACCCTTTTTTTTATTTAAATCGTAATCATAGATCGTATCACTCACGACAACCAATTCATAGATCTATCGAAAAGAATAGCAGCCTTTCCATCGAAATTAGAGAGATGGAGAGGTAACGTTGGTCTCATGTTAAACAACTTTGAAGGAATTAATCATTCTCACATCTCCTTGAATTAGCTAGAGTTACGGCTGGGAGTGCTGATAGGTTTTCAGATTCAAGCTTTTATTACTTATTTAGCTGCCCATATGATGTATTCTAGGATAGCTCAGATGGCAAGGCACGCGGCCGGTGATCATAAGGTCATGGTTCGAATCCTATCTAACGACATGTGTGTATGTGTATGTATGTATGAAATAAATTTTCTATGATCTATATGTGTGTGTAGGGTGCGTGCTTCGACAAAAATAATGACAACAAACAATCACTTACGAGAACAACCATGCCTCTGTCCCATTCTTATTTTCAGATTAATTATTCCGTAGTTGAATAATCGTTTGGTAAATGTTTGATACACTGTCTAATTAATACCCCTATTATTTCACATGAGATTCAAGCGCTTATATATACATCTAGTAAACGCTGAATAATCAAAAATTTGATCGAATTAAGGTCTTTTACAACTTTTGTAAGTCGAATAAAAGCTTCTCGACATACCTTATTTCAACACCAAATATTTTGATGTTGTGGTTGAATAAATTCTCCAAATTTGTGTGAACAAAGCCTGAACAGAAGTTATTATTAAAAATAGTACAAGTTTTATTAAGCATGAAGTGGAATAAAATCGTCAAGAAGTCGTTTCTTCAATAGGCAATTGTTTGTTGGGTCGCTTTAAACCTAGAATTTATAGCCACTAAAACACCTCCACCTTTAACTTTCCAACTATTAGCAGCATTCCTATCGCAACGGAAAACTTCATAATCGTCGCCGAACACCTGACGAGAGAGCGTGCGTGAATCCAACCATGTCTCCGTGAGAATAATGATGTCGTAGCAAAGATCCGAGGTAGCTACGCGAAAATCGTCGACATCACAGTTGATACCACCGACGTTCTGATAATACAGCAGCAAGTCTGAAGGAGCAGGTATAGTTTCAATACGTCCAATAGTCTGAGCAACTTGCGAAGGATGCCTTGATGGTGCAAGCGAATATTGGCTGGAAGCAATGAGCGGATCAGGAGTCGTTGAATCGATAACAGAAGTTGACTTGCCCCTGCACTACTCCCACACGCAAGGCCGAGACGACTGCTGAACGCTGGCTGGAATGGCCTCGACTGTGGTGGGAGGTACAAGGGCTTCCATGAAGCCAACTTCGGTGCGTCCCAGTGTCCGGTTGAATTGTGATGGCTGATGAGGTAGGGCTGTCGGAAATTGGCTGTAAGCGATGAACGGATCAGGAATCATCGAGTACATTAAATGATCGTACTTGCCTTTGACGTTGAGTTGGAAGACGCCTGCACTACTCCCACACACAGGGCCGGGACGACTGCTGAACGCTGGCTGGAATGGCTCGACTGCGGTGGGAAGTACAAGGGCTTCCATGAGGCCAACTTCGGTGCGTCCCAGTGTACAGCTGCCTAACTGTGGCTGGTAAGACAAGCCAAATGGAATTTGCTGGACTGGCAAAGAGTTTGGATGAAGTTCGGTAGAGACAAGTGAAACATGTGTCAAAGAAGATGGCAATGGCGAAACCGGCCATTCAGGAACAGGTTAGTTGACGAGCTCTGTGCAGCGATGGGAGTTGTCACTTATTATGTCATGGCGTTGTCTTGGTGATCCGGGTAAATGGGTGACTCCATGCTGGGGGATAAATTGGCATTTGGCGTTTGAGAAGGGTTCCAAAAATTTGTAACATTCCTGTTGTCCTTGAACTCACGGAATAGTATTCCCTTTGGCCATGCTGCAGTCGAAAGAGCCTTTGCTTTCAGCTCAGGACTCATACCGAGTTTGAACAAAATGAATGACAGACTGCTGACATTCTTACCGTTGGCGACTAGTCTCAACGTCATTTATTCCTAACCTCTGCATCGCCAGTTCACGTACTTGCTCCACTGTGATGTCACGAGAAATACGCGAAAGGTAGAGCCAAAACTTCTGCCTAGGAGGTGGTACAGCAAAAGTGCCGATAGATGGAGATATTGAGCTTGCAGTTCCACACATCAAATCCTGTTGACGGCGTTCAGCAGCTTCAGGTTTATGGAACAATCGTTAGCTTCGCAAAGACCCAGTGGCATTCGTATTACGAGTTGATGATTTTGGTGTAAGTGCACTGGAATTGATCAAAGCGGTGAAGTTCAGACGTAGTTCATTCATGATTTCCGACTTAATTCTTTGAACGATCACATTATGATCGCCAAGGACATGTTCTTGCCCAGCCTCATAAGCGCTTCGAATGGAATTGCGGAAACGAATGTCATCCATTAATTTGGTACACGACCTGCACATCCAGAACAATTGCGAGTTCATTTTCATCTCATCGTTAACAGCTGAAGTGATATTGACGCATTTGAGGTGAAATTCCGCTTTGCAGAAGCCGCTGCATGAAATGGAATCGTCAATGACATCAGTAGCACAGGAGTGGCAAGTAGAAGTCATTTTCAGGATTGAAGTAATTCTCAGGATTTGATGCGATTGCCAAAGCAGCGCTACTACACAGTTTAAAGTAATGCGCCTAGAGTAGTATACAGCAACAGAGCAGGTAAGCTTGACGGCGAAAGTACAATACAACGGTAGAATCCAGGCGATAGCAATGCGCCAAAATGTTTGCAACAGTTTCACCACGAGCTCAACAAAAGCTCGCAAGCTTCAAAATTTTGCTGGTAGATGGCGCTTCGGAAAAAAAATCTCGTGGCGTTTGCTTAGTAAAGTGTTTGTAAACAATGTTCAAAATGCTTCACTTTCACTTTAAAACAGCACCACGAAAACACAACACACCAAAAGAAATTCACGGCACTTGAATGTAGTAGCACATAAACTGACGATCGAGCAATGAAGGTATAATTTATAACCGTAATTACAACATAAGTGCCATCAATTAACGACCAAACGCAGCGGTATATGTAGCTAACAGTGTTGCCAACAATGATGGAGTAATACGACATGCACTAAAATAAGGACACGGGATATAGGGGAAATGACATTAATGTTGGCCTATGGAGCTAAGATTGGGCCCATCGTTAAAAATCTGCTTTTTATCAATTTTATCTAGATGGACGCGTCATTGCACAGTGGTTCTTGGCTGGCCAAAACTTCAAAAATTAAAGTTGATGTATTTTTATTTCAATATTTTTTATCATTTTTACATGTTAAGAGTATCCTTAATTGAATGATTTGTGCAGTTCTGTTGATTATACATTTTTTTTGGTTGTTATAGTGTAGCGATATCACAAATATTTGAAAAAAATCGTAATGTTTATTGTTACTGTTTTGATCAAATATAGCAAAAATTTATGTGTTTATCAACTTGGTTGCTTTAGAAGAAAAGTTCCTCGGCTTATTTCACGTCAAATGGACGGTAATAAAGAGTGTGTGCACTGTTCACACAAGGAGCATCACATATCATATAAGTTTACATTATATTTCATGTAAAGTTCTGAGACATTTCATGCAATGTAGTAAATATTGTATACAAAAGCCCATTATTGTAAACAAAATTGTTTACAAGTTGCTCGGTTCCGTGAAATGAAATACAAGTTTACGTGAATTAATGTTTACATCACTATTAAAATTCAGAATTTTTATCTGTGTGGATTTGCATATTGATGCATACAATCAAAAGTTCAAAAAATAAAAATATACAACACTGGTTGCGGAAGACACCGCATCAAATTAGGAATTCGCTTTTTTGATCGATAAATGCACGTAGGACCTTTTCAAAAATTAATCGAGGATATTGTAATGCAATGATTACATGGATTATTTTAATATTAATTTTATTTTTCAGAAATATAACAACGCATTGCACACACACGCATACACACACAAGGCTACAAATATTGAGTTGAAAACCTGAAAGGAGCGTGGCACCGCACTACACCACCAGCGCCGCTCGAAAGGATGCTAACCGGCACATTACCAGTAAGATCCTAATTACGGCATTTAGGAATAACTAATTTTACA